GGAGGACTTGCAAAGCTTATACCCTGTCTCTTATACACATCTAGATGTGTATAAGAGACAGAGGCAAGGGAGGGGAGGCAAGGGAAGGGGGGCAGAAGGAAGGGGAAGGGATACTCACACTCGAGCTTTCCTGTGTGTATCTGAACTCATTTCCGGCCAGGTTCAGTTTGGAGGGCGGTGATGTGGGTATAATACTCTGAAGTTGACTTTTGCCAGAGGTGTGGTGGTTGTTGTGTTTTTTTTTTGTTGTTGTTGTTTGCTGATTTTGTACTAGTGACGTCAATATTTGTTGTGATTGCTTTATACTCACACTGGAACTTTTCTGGTTGCATCCGGTCTCATTTCAGGCCAGATTCAGTTGTGAAAGCAGTAGTGTGTGTACAAGTTGGCTGTTCGCTTTTGCCAGAGTCGGTGTTGCTGTTGGTGCTCTTGTTTTTTTTTTTTTTTTTTTTTTTTTGGCTTTTCATTTTGTGTAAATGACATCAAAATTTCTACTAGTTCTGTATTCGGGTCAGCATTCAGTCTGGATACAGGCATAAAGATCCCGTGTGCTATTCGGGTGAGGACGGCAGCACAAAAAAAGTTAATGCTAATGCTGCGCCGAGAATTCAGAAATTTGCTGGCCCTGAGGCAAAAAGTTGTTGTTCAGTTTATTAACTTTATTTTTCTGCATAACTTTTTTATTTTTTATTGTTTTTATTTTTTTAATTTTTAAGAGACCTTCCCTGGCCCTTGCCCGCCCGACCAACCAAGGCGACCCGAGCGGCCTGGTTGGGAACCCAGTCTTTTTTGTTTATTGTTTATTGTTTATTGTTTTTTGTTTATTGTTTATTGTTTTGCGTGTCAGCGGTCCCAGACACAGTAAGTAGAACGAACCATCCCTACCGTCTTCACCCGTATAGAATGCCGGGTTATTATATCTGTTTTTGGACCGTTTTCAGTCTAGATACAGTGATAGTGACCCGGCGTTTCTCTTCGAGTGAAGACGGTAGTCCTGAGGGCATGCACTTTCCCCTTTTTTTTCCTTTTTTCAAAATCGTTTGCCACTTTTGTCATTGGTAACTTTTTTTTTTTTTTTTTTGCTCATATTTCTGAATTTTCAAGGGATTCACTTTTTAAGTTTTTAGTTTGATTTTGTCGCTTGTCACGATATGTTATTGCCATGGCTACGCCGGACCCGGATCCGGACATTTCCGGACATGGAACCGGACCCATGTCCGGTAGTTTCCGGACGTCCGGAATTCCGGACATCTTCCGGACACCGGACATATCGGGATCTGGGCAGGTCCGGAAAATGTCCGGACCATTAAAAAACAATAAAATTAAAAAAATCTGAAAAAAAAGTATGTTATGCAGAATAACAATGCAAACCACTTTTGCCTCAGAGTCATGTCAGAATTCCTAACCAAACTTGAGTTAAAAGTCAAAAACTATAAAAAATCTTAAAAAAAGACTTAAAAAACTAACAAAAGGTAATGAATTATTAATAATTAAGAAATTGGGGATTGTCTAATAAATTATTAAATTTATTATAGAGAGAGTGCATGTCCGGACCCCCCAAAAAATCATAAATGGGCCTGAAAACCCCCCAAAGCAATTTTGGGGGCTTGGCTCCTCAATGGGGAAGGGTCCTGGACCGTTTTTTTTTTTTTTTTTTTCTCGAAATTTGGCAGATCCGGACCTTCCAGACCGGACGTCTGGAGTCCGGACTGAATCCGGACCGAATCCGGACCGTCTGGACGGCGGTCCGGACGTCCGGATCGTAGCCATGGTTATTGCATATTGTATGCCTTTTTTTATTTTTTTTTATTTTTTTTTATTCTAGTTTTTAAGACAGCCTTATGGTGGTCAGTGCTCCCCATTCTGGGGAGTATCTGCTACCAAACTAATGCTAGCAACCATTAATTATTAAAAATAATTTCATTAAATCAATTTAAATGCATATTTTTTCACGGATGCAGATTTTCGGTGAGGTTGCGGAGGGGCTGGACACACTCATGCGGATTAATGATGCGTTCTGCGATGAGAAAGGTCGACCTTTTAAGATCATCAGGTGTGTCTGGGCAGGTGTGTGACATTTATCTCAACTTCGCTGTCTTTTTTTTTCGGTATTTTTTTAATTATTTTTTGTTTCTTCTTCTTCTTCTTCTTCTTCTTCTGTGACTTGTCTGTGCTCGTGTTTTTTTTTTTTTTAAATCCTTTTGTTTTCGTCATTGTTTGGTGTTTCTTCCTCTCAAATCTTGATGGCTTATGTTAGAGCACATACTGACACAGAGCTTTCCTGGATGTGTCTCGCTGCATTTACGACAAGATTCACTAAAAAAAAACCAACACCGTGCTGCGAATCTGGTCTTATAGTTCGAACTTCAAAGTTTGATCTCGTGATCTGTTTACAGTCCTCGGTTGGGTGCAGCGCTTCCGTCTTTACATGTCCAAGTTCAAACTTCAAAGTTTGACCGAACCCTAACGTTCGCTGGTGTAGCATATCATGTTCGCGAACGGTGACCGAACCCGATCGTTCCGAATGCTACCGAGCGTCAAAACCCTCCGAACGCGAACACAGAAATATTAAAAAGAACAAAACAAAACAAAGTTCTCAGAAAAATCTGAAAAAAAAAGTAAGAGGTTCTGAACAGGGGGAGTTGTAAGTAAGAAGACAAAAAATGAATTGATATCTTTTTTGTTTCCTTTTTTTTTTTTCTTCGCTTTTGCGCTCTGATAACTTAGTGACAATTTATATAGAATGATGAAACAAACAACGTTTGCCTGAGAGGGTTGGTTGTCCAAATTCGTAACCAAACCCGAGTTGAAAATAAGAAACTGAAAAAAGATACCCAAAAATCATTAAAAAAAAATGTTCGACTGAACACGGTCGGGAGACATTCGGCCAAACACCCGAACATGTTCGGGAGACGTTCGGCCCTGTACCATGCACCACAAGGCTGGGCATTTTTACGCTTGGTTGAAATTGTTTCTAATCACCCCCCCCGCCCCCCGTCTCGCCCCCGCTCGACCCCACGACCTGTGTCGTTTCTGCTGTCACCCATGGGAAACATTATCACAGGATCAGGCGCACTCACGTACTAGATGACCCCTTTGAGGATCCTGGAGGACTTGCAAAGCTTATACC